TTAATGCTTTCCTTAACACTTTTGTTGGTTAACACTTTTGTTGGTTAACACTTTTGTTTTGGTTAACACTTTTGTTTTCGCTATGATATATTTTTCACCAACGCTTTGCATAATTCATTCATCAGTATATAGTAAATGACATTTGTGCATCTGTGAAAAAGAAACACNACATCAGGAAAAAGCCTTTAAGCTCTTTCAAATGTAGAAAAACAAAGACGGAAACTCTTTTTTTTCCCTGATGCTTAGTTTTATGTTTAGTTTGTGGATTAGTTAGTTTGAGTTTGTGGATTCTAAGGTAATATTTTTTCTAATGTTGGTTTAATTTTTGGTTTTAAGAGCAAATTATTAACTTTGTTGTTGAAAAAAGCAAAATATGGCTGATCACATGACAAGAAAAGAAAGAGTAAAGGGTGAAGTTGGTCGAGATGTGCTGCAAGCTTTTAAGAGTTTAATTAAAGAGAGAATTTATTTTGATGTCTGTGCCCTGTTTAAGATGGAGAACACGTTTTTGCTGCATTTGCGGATTGTAGTTTACCAATAAAGTCTAAAATACTGCTATAATGTAAAATACATGAAATAAAGTCGAAAATCTCTCCAGTTTTGTGGAAGCAACAGTTCATGTGAGATGCATTATTTATGACGCTCTTCTTCAGTTTTGTTTTTGTCACACACCACACTCATTATCCGTGTCTTTCGTTAGAGATTATGCTAATGACTTAAACTGATTTTATTATTATTATGATTGTTGTTTAACCCCCGTCTCCTTTGGCTGTGGTTTCTGGCCCGGGGCGCCGGTGAGAGCTGTAATTATGGGCTTCAGATCCATTCATTTCTCTTTTAGACAATTGACTGTATATTCAGGAGGACAGAGAGAGTAATTGAGTGTGTATTAGCGACAGAAAACACAAATAAGACACCGAAAGATTATTTCATAACCTTAAACAAGATTAAGAAGATTACTGAAATCCGCGCACCTGCTCTCATATCATATCTATCAATTTATCCAAGCAGAAATCACCAGGGTTATTATTATTGCACTTTATTATTAGTAGTAGTAGCAGTAGTAGTAGTATAGGTATATTATTGTTGTTTGTTGTCTTATTATTATTATTATTGTTATTAATAATAATATTAAGATATTATTATTATTATTATTATTATTATTATTATTATTATTATTATTATTATTATTAATAATAATAATATTATGCTTGGTTAATGTCACCGAATGTTGTGTTAATTCTGGATAAACACAACACTTGTGATAAAAACTGCCTATTTGTTGCATTAAAAATTATCCAACGTTGTGTTTGTCCATGTTTGACCCCTGAACGTTAGGTTACATAAAACCAAAGTGCATTGTTGTTGTTGTTATTATTATTATTTTTATTATTATTATTATTATTATTATTATTATTATTAATATATGCATATAAAAAATTGCTTAAATGAGACTGGTTAACTGTGTTTGAAGTGCTGGAAATGATTGTTTACTTTAAATTTGGGGAAAGAAGACCACCGATAATAATAATAATAATAATAATAATAATAATAATAATAATAATAATAATAATAATAGGCTACCAATACTATACTGATACTAATATAAACATATCAGAAACCAGGATTTGAGATGTTTTGGTTTGTGAACTTAAAGCATATGTATCTATAGCAATAACTTTTCCGTTCGTTTTTATTTTTTGTGTTTTGTGTGTATGTGTGTGTGTGTGTGTGTGTTTGTGTGTTTGTGTGTTTGGTATGGGTGTGTAAATGCAACAACAGTAAATAAATAAATAAATAAATAAATAAATAAATAAATGTAAGCATTTCGATTTCCAAGTGACACAAAACAGACTCTGAATGATTTACTGTTTAATTCACTTTTGCCGATGTTTTCGGAGATTTAGCGCGTTTTATTTTACTTTACTGCGTTACACATCCTACTTATACATACTCAGCCAATTTTACTTGTTTAGTGGCCTAATTATATTAGAGCAAACAACACGCAAACGTTCCTCTCGATAATCTCCCTATTAGTTATTGTTATTGCATAATTTAACAAGCATCTAAACCACACAGTATAATATGTGATATTTAAAAGCGCTCTCCAAACAGTGTATATTCGATTACTTTCTTAACTGGAGTAGTTTTGAGGGCGAAAATGTTAAGTGATTTGATGAATTGCCCATGTAAAGCAGCTGTAATGACTCTGTCGATCTATAGAGGTCGCTGCAAGCTTTCATTTATTTACAGTTTGGCTTTTCAGATTTACTGCAACAGAAAGAGAAATAAGAAAAGGCCAGCTTAAAACAGCACGAGCAAATAATGCAATAAAACTGAATTATCATAATAAATAACTGAATACGCAGCAGGAAATTTAGTCAATATGATGCGACATTTGTGTTTTATTTTAATTTGTAAGTGAACAGATTGACGTGCACCAAATATGTTGGGTTGAATTAGCCCATCGTTGTCATAAATAAACAAACCCAACAGTGAGTTAATTGACCAAGTTTAAATCACACTTTTTAACCCAACTGTTATCGTCCGTATTTGAAACAACCCATCGCGTTTTTAAAGTGTACACATTTTTTGCTGGTGTTTTATCATTACTATTGTTATTAATATTATTATTATTATTATTATTATTATTATTATTATTATTGTTATTGTTATTGTTGTTGTTGGTGTTAATAGTAGTATTATTATATTCTTGAACTGGGCACATTCTAAAAAATGCTGGGTTATATTAAACCCAACGTTGGGTCAAATATACAGATAAACCCAGGTGTACTTTAAATTTAATTGAATAAAAAAAAGTATATACTAAAAAACAATGTTGTTTTTGCCCACATTTGACCCAACATCGGGCTAAAATCGGTCAAATATAGACAAACCCGAGTGAACTTTAAATATAATTAAAGGAGAAAAAAACAAGGTTGTGTTTGTCCACATTTCACCCAACAAATGTTTAAACAACCCAGCATTTCTGCATTTTAAATAAGTAAAGAAAAAGTAAACAGATAGATAGATAGATAGATAGATAGATAGATAGATAGATAGATAGATAGATAGATAGATAGATAGATAGATAGATAGATAGATAGATAGATAGATAGATAGATAGATAGATAGATAGATATTCACGGTCAAATATGGATAAACCCAGGTGTAATTTAAATTTAATTGGAAAATAATGTAAAAACCAAAGCTAGTGTTTGTCCACATTTCACCAAACAAAAGTTTAAACAAAGCATCTCATTTAAAATAAATAAATAAATAAATAAATAAATAAATAAATAAATAAATAAATTTCACTTACAGAAATATAAAAATTTTGGGAACTGCATTACGGCCACTGTGCATGGCGGCTGTTAAAAGTGCATTGTTGTGAATGTGTGTCCTGAATGATTAGATAATAAATGCTAAAGAGTATTGTCTGTCTCCTGCTGATGACGCTGAGAGCCTCAATCCACACTCCCTCTGAACCGAATGTCACTCTCCTCAACAAATTAATAATTTATTATCGTATCGAGTTTTTCCTTTTTTCCCCCTCTCCCTCTGACAGATTAGATTTTAACCATTTGATTTTGTTTGCACAGGGCGTTCCCACATTATTACTTAATGATATTCCCAGCTGCTTCGGTCCATTTTCCGCCGCCAGCAGCCATCTGGTCTCTTATTAGCACCTCAATGCATTTGCAGCAGCTCCATTTAACAATTGAATCTGAAGACTCCCGCGAAATATCTGGAGATCCATTTTGAGCCTCATGCAAAGCAAAATAAACGACAGATTTTTGTTTATTTGTTTATTTTCGAGCGTTCGTTAGCATTGTTTTTATCGGAGACGATCAATTATGAAAATATATTGCCATGCAACTAATAATAAGAAGGATAATAATAATAATAATAATAATAATAATAATAATAATAATAATAATAATAATAAATTCTAAATGATGCAACGCTTGCTCAAATATGGACAGCCGCAAAGCTGGGTTAATTTGTACATTACATTTAAATAACATTTTTCAACCCAACTATTGCTTTGTCCATGTTTGTTTATAGTGTAATAATAATAATAATAATAATAATAATAATAATAATAATAATAATACACTTTAAAATTTGCTGGGCTGTTTTAAACAGTCAAATATAGACAAACCCAAAGCTGGGTTGATTTTAAAATGTTATTTAAATCGCATTTTTCAACCAAACGGTTGTTTTTTTCATATTCTTTATATACTATTAATAATAATGTTGTCAAAATAACAACAACAATAATCTCTAATTGATACTGGCTTGTTTTAACCCAAAATAAGGACAACCCCCAAGCTGGGTTATTTTTTTATACTGAATTTAAATGACATTTATCAACCCAAACGTGGTTTGTTCATATCTGTTTTAAATAATAATAATAATAATAATAATAATAATAATAATAATAATAATAATAATAATACACTTTAAATATTGCTAGGCTGGTTTAACCCAGCGTTGAGTCAAATATGGACAAACCCAAAGCTGGGTTGATTGTAAAATGTTATTTAAATCGCATTTATTTATCCAAACGTTTGTTTTTTCCATATTCTTTATATACTATTAATAATAATGCTGTCAAAATTATAACAACAATACACTCTAATTAATGCTAGTTTGTTTTAACCCAAAATAAGGACAACCCCCAAGCTGGGTTATT